ACGCGAACGAAGTCGCTGGTACACGCTAGTAATTGAAAAAAATTGCAAATTGTTGGTGGCAAGTTCATTTAGCTCTTAAAAATTAATGCATTTGTTTACATGAGACAAAAAACAAAATGCCCAGGATACATGGTTCTGACAGAAAAATAATATTTTAGGAAAGCTTACTTGCGAAATTATTGCACAGGGTGTTTTAAAGTTAAGGTAAAAAACAACCAAGAAAATCATAAAAATAGGGCTAAAAACGTAGGTTCAAAATATAAAAAATATAATACTTTAAATTTGACGAAAAAAATTACCGTTATATTAAATGTAGGGTTACAACAAGGTGTCTAATGTCCAACAGGTAAAATGTATTTGAAAACATTTTGTGGTTTAATTTCTTATAATAATTATTTAATTACTATGTTTGCGGTGCTCATTAACATTAAATTTGTTTATATAGTAAACCGCGAGTTCGCTATCATAGAAACAATTAAAGGTCTTTTTCTACTACTATTTAATTAATGTGTGTTATTAATACTCACATTTTGATAACATTTGTTAAAAGCGGTGATAAAAATACTAGATTTGCAATTATTTAAACATAAACACATACATTTTCAGGTCAGTGAACTGCTGGACATATAGGAAAGGTATGCAAAAATCACTTATATATTAATTAGATAATTATACTATTTCTCTTTTTTTATCTCTTATATTTTTTATACAATATTAAAGCCTGATGGAATTAATCACAACTCATTACAAAAAGTGTGAATACATTCCTAATCTACTTTTTGGGATATTTTATTTTATATATTAATAATAATAATAATAAACTAATGCTGGTTTCAGGATAAAGATGAGAGACCGAACTAAATATAGTCACTTGCTCTACGTGGATGACCTTAAACTATACGCCGAGTCTAAACAACAGCTTGAGGTTCTACTAACAGTGACACAACAATTTAGTGACGATATAAAGATGAATTTTGGTCTAGATAAATGTGCTACAATAGAAATAAAGAAAGGACACGTCTTCACCACGTCAAACCGAGGAAAATTTTATGAATATACCTTGTCTCGAACCTGACGATACCTACAAATACCTTGGCATACAACAAAATCTTGGAATCCCCCATACAAATCTTAAGAAAGAGGCCATGGAAAAGTATAAAAGCCGTCTCACTAAATTGCTAAACACAAAATTAAACTCCAAGAACCTGACAAGGGCCATTAATTGCTGGGCAATTCCAACACTCTCATACTCCTTCGGAATTCTAAAATGGTCTGACACCGATCTAGACGAACTAGATAGAACAACACGAAGAACGCTTACAAAATTCCGCTGCTTACATCCCAATTCATCCATCCAACGACTGTACATACCACGCAGCGAGGGTGGACGTGGACTGCTCAACATTAAATCTCTTTGCAAATCACAAGAACGTAAAATGAGAGAATACTTTTTACAACACACTCACCCAAATATCCAAACAGTAGTCGAACATGACCAAGCATATACACCTCTCAATCTAGCTTCCCCACAACTTGAATTTCAAATAGAATCACATTCAAGTCGAATAAATAATTGGAAAGAGAAGATATTACATGGAAAATATCCCTTACAACTAGCTGCTGCTCACATTGATAAGTCAACATCAATATCTTTCTTAAAGTATGGTAATCTACACCCTGAGACAGAGGGTTTCATACTGGCAATCCAAGACAGGATCATGAGAACCAGAAATTATGAAAAGCACATCCTGAAGACGGACACCATTGATGTATGTCGAAAATGTGCTAAACCGGGTGACACCATCGAACATATTACTGGTGCGTGCTCCGCCCTTGCAGACACCGATTACCTCTGTCGACATAACCAAGTGGCTAAGATTATACATTCGCGCTTAGCATTAAGGTGCAAACTAATAAAATCGTCACTGCCATATTATAAATATACACCTGATGCAGTTTTGGAATCCGACCAACATCTGTTATACTGGGACCGACCAATCATAACTGATAAAACTGTGGATTACAACCGTCCGGACATCTTGCTTATCAATAAATCTGAAAAAGTAGCACGGATTATTGACATCGGAATTCCACTCACGCACAATATATTCAAAACAGAACAAGAGAAATGTAGAAAGTATACTAACCTAGCTATAGAGGTAAAACGCATTTGGAACCTAAACAAAGTCAGTATTGTGCCCCTCATAATCTCCACCGAAGGAGTTTGTACCACCAATCTTTACCTAACTTGGCTAAATTGGAACTACAAAAAGGCTTACGTTATCCCATGCAAAAGGCCGTAATTTTACAAACCTGCCATCTAGTTCGTAAGTTCCTATCAATATAGACAGGATGAAGTGAATTCTTCCTCTGCTTATATATCGCCCGACATGAAATGTTGAGATTAAAAAGAAAAGAAAAGATAATAATAATAATAATAATCGTCTTTATTGAAGAAAGAAAGATGTGTAACATTACATATATTATTACACATCATGCAACAAGGGTGGCGAAATTTAACAAAAAAAGTTATTCTTACATTTAACCACCCATAGCCGCCATAAGGTATTTATTGAAAAATATGTTCAAAAGACAAAAAAGACAAAAAAATATGTTCTATAAACTAACAAATTAAAAAATATGCATAGTTAATTCTTATACACATGGCATAATAAATAATTTTAAAAAATAAACAAAAAATACAAAACCATCATCATTCCTGTGAAGACAAAAGAAACATTTTATATTTTTTTCGCAATTGACCAAAGTTACATTGTTTGAAATCATTATCAAGGGAATTGTAACTAGTGACGGCCATATAGGTAAAACTTCTTTGAAAAAGGGCGGATCTATGTTGAGGCATGGTCAGTTGATTATGGTGTCTTATATTACAATTATGCATGACATTACGAGGAATAAGTTTTTCACTCAGATATATAGGGGTGGATGTGCTAAGAACTTTAAACAGAAACATGACGAAATGCACCTGACAGTGTTTGAAATCTTAAGCCACTTTAATTCATTAATACGAGCAGAGATATGATCGTACTTCCTCAGACCAAAAATGAAGCGACAGCAAACGTTTTGTACATACTGCAATCTGTTTTTAGAAACTAGATCCAAACATGGATAAAAAATAATATTAGCATAGTTGAAAACAGACAGTACCAGGGATTCACACAGTTTTTTTCGCATCCTAAAGTTTAAAATATATCTATTGGAATATAATATTTTAACTCTAGTGTAAGTTGTTTGCAAAAGTTTCTTTATATGTTCTTCAAACCTAAGATGCGTGTCAATATATAGTCCCAAGTTCCTAGCGGAAGCTGAGTAGCGTAGATTTTTATTAGCTAATTTTAGTGTTATGCTTCGCTGTAAAGTTGCTCTTTTCTTCTCTGAACAAAACACAAGAACTTCAGTTTTATTGGCATTTGTTTTCAAATTGTGTTCAGTAGAATATTTTAAAATAGACTCCAAATCTAGGTTCAATAGAAGAGAAGCTGTATCAGAATTTACTGGATCAAAATAATGAAGAAGCTGCGTGTCATCGGCGTATGATTGTACGTGGGAATTAGAGACACTATCAAAAATGTCGAAGGTATATATCAGAAATAGTAGTGGTCCTAGAATGGAGCTATGTGGGACACCCGATATTATTCTGCCGGCGGATGACAAACCACCATTTAACCTTACTCTCTGCGTTCTATCAGCAAGATACTCTCCAAGGAAATTTTGAGGCAGCTCGTCAAAACCCAAATAATACAACTTAGCACACAGAAGATCATGGTCCAATACGTCGAACGCCCTGGAGTAATCCAAAGAAATGGACAGAACAGCCATACCCCTATCAAGAGCCCTGGAAATGTTATCTGCCAAGTTCAACATGGCTGTAGTTGTACTATGCATTTCACGAAATCCCGATTGATGAACTGGATAAAGTTTATTTCTTAAAAGAAAGTTGTTAATCTGAGCATACACTGCTCTCTCCAGTACCTTGGACATGACAGGCAACAAACTTATGGGCCGCAGATCGGTAACATTACCAGGGTTTTTCATTTTCGGTATTGGGTAAACAATAGACTCCTTCCAGCATTTGGGGAAATACCCTATTTCCAGGCAACAATTAATAATATGAGTAAGAGGATACAAGGTCGCAGGCAAACTGAGTTTAAACATGTGTAGAGTGAGATCATCACAACCTGCAGCATTAGATTTTATTTTGTATATATACCTAAGAATTGCTTCGGGAGACTCCATTGAGAAACCAAAACTTAATCCCACTCGGTACTTATTGTTCCTATAGAATGTGGTTTTATTAATACAAGCATTAGTTTTGTTAAATACGCTCAAGAAATATGTGTTCACATCTTCTGGACTATGCAATGAAGTAGGAAGATCATTAAAATTGCTTGACCCAGAGGAAACGTATTTACTATTTCACCGTGATGCAGCTTTCTGAAAAATTCCACATCATGAAAAGCACAATCATAAAACTTTTTGATGCAATTAATGTTTGAGAAAATTCCATTCTCGAAAAAAATGCTTCGTCCATTGGCTTGGAAATGACGATCGATGACATTTCCCATATAATTTTACATATAAAATGACATCGATCTTTATTTCGTAGCCATCGCTGACACAGTTTTTTTTTCGATCATATGGTACTACACATCGAAAAAAAAACTGTGTCGATGATAATCTTGGCTAGGTGAAGCCCTAGACCTCATTTACTTGGCAAAAATTATTTTAAAAAGTGTGTATTTTTTATAATTAGTGTTATTTTTTGACAAGTTTTATATCAATTTATAGTAAGTTACGTCTAGAGATTGACCTCGATAAAACTGTCATCGATTAAATCATTCTCCTGAGAAAAATTAATGACTAGCAGTGCCTCTAGTGTTTGTTCGCACAGTGATTTTACTTCCAGTCATTTCCATTACAGAAAATATTCTAAAGGGGAATGTTTGGTGCATTTAACTTATATGTTTATTTGTTTCCAGGTCTGTCAAATCTCTTTTGACAGAGAAAGGAGCGGATCCTAACCTTGTTCTGTCGAAAAAGGGTATCTCGCCATTCCACTTGGTGATAGGCTGCGAATCCCACGATTTCTCACTCAAAGTGACGTCACTGATTTTACAAAATGGCGGCAATCCGAACGTGAGGTAAGTTCGAAAGTTGACATGTGATACGTCATTCTATTCAGAGTGTCATTTTCTATCGAATAAAGTAAAAAATATACCGAGGGTGCCATTTAAAAGAGTTGTAGTAATCAATCCTAATTTATGTCATATCATATAATAGCATACCAAATCTCGTTTTTTATCTAAAAAAATAAAGAAGTTATAAGGGTGTGCCACTTTTGAGACGCACGCGGTATAGACACGACTGTACATTTGTCATCTATGGTAATCGCAAAACAATTTCCGATGCACGTGATCAACTTTGAGTGACAAGCGATGGCGACAGCGCTGCCAGATTGTGATGGATTTATGAGATGAATTTCAATTTAAAAGTGACAAATAATTTATTTATTATGTTACGTTTTTCGTCGGTTCCGTGTGGATAGAAAGTCACAATTTATTTAAACACTATTTATTTAACACTAATTAACAAAAACAATAACGATAAAAGACTTATAGAACTATTTACAAACGATTTATAACTAAGAATTTATTTTTAGTTTTAGCGCGTCAACTGCACTGGTATATTTATAACTGTCCTCTCTAGGCCACTGCCGCCGGCTTTTATACCGACAGGTAAAAGAAATCTAGAATAGTCCAAAGATCGTTAGGCGCATAGAGAAGGTTTTCGAATGTTCTCGTATGTACGAGTCCATTCTAGTGGGTCTCGATTCTTCTCGAACGAATGAATCATTGCGGTGTCTATGCGATGTTAAGGTCATCCGAGGGCGGGCCATATTGTGAGGTTAGGTCGAGTCCACACCGGCTCGCAACACTGCCCCTTCTTAGGGCACATGCTCGTCCCGAGATTATACGGTGAATGAAGGTATTTGCAAAGCTGGCCCCTGGTACATTGCGAAGTCTGGTAGAAATAGCAGTCTACAGTTTTCTCTCCCGATCTCAGCTTTGGGTTGTAGCAGCAAACGAGGATCTCGATTCCCGTAAATCTGAACAAGACTTCAATCATGTTCCGGATTGTACGCCAACTCAAACCATCGAGTCCACACGCCAGCTTCGGAATGGCTAATCGTGCAATGTTGTTGTTTAGCAGGGCTTCTCTCAGTTCAATCAGGGTCTTCCATAGATTGAGATAAGTCGGCTTACTCGGGGACCATTCCTTGGTGACCAGGTAGAAGATGTGCCTTGCTTGACCATGTGCATTGTCGGTTAGCCTCAAGACGCTTCCAACCTCTGGATCCTGTCGGCGTAGTTCTCCGACACGCCCAAACTTCTCATTGAACGTCGCAGCGATTCCTCTGGACATCCGCAAATCTCGAGCCACACAATGAGCGAGCGAATAATCAGGAGGCACGGAAAAGAGGTCTCGTTGATCTTCTTTGGTTACACCATAGCGAGCCTTCTCACTGCTGTTGTATCGGGCCATGAAATCGTCAAAGGACATCTCCGAATCAGGGGGATCAAAGCTGCAGGTTCTCACGGTCCCAGCACGATCTTCTATTTCGCCTTGGTAGGGGCTCAAACGGTTGAAATGGACTACCCTCGGTTTTCCTTTTGGCAATTTTCTGATACGGTATACGACGTCATTAATTCTATCCATGACTTCGTATGGCCCTTCCCACGAGGATTGTAGCTTCGGAGATAACCCACGACGTCTCTGCGGGTTATATAGCCACACCAACTTCCCTGGTTGGTATCCTCCATGCTCAGCTTGAATGTCGTAGTGTTCCTTCATTCGGTCACTAGCACTTTGAATATTTAGGCGGACTCTCTGATGAATGTCGTCCATCCTTTGACGTAGTGTGTGGACATAATCTTCTCCGGCGACTTCTTCTCCCGGTCGGCAACCAAATTTCAGATCACAGGGTAGGCGCACTTCCCGTCCCATAACGATGCTGGCTGGAGTTTGCCCTGTAGATTCTTGGACGGATGAACGGTAGGCCAACAGGAACAGGTGAAGAAATTTGTCCCAGTCTCTTTGGTGGTCAGAGACTACTTTGGCCAGATAACGGTTGATAGTTCTGTTCATGCGTTCAACCATCCCATCGGATTGTGGATGTAGAGCAGTCGTCCTGGTCTTGCGGATGTTCAGGACTTCACAGACGCCTTGGAACAGATTGGACTCAAAGTTTCTTCCCTGATCTGAATGAAGCTCCATGGGAACACCAAACCTGCAGATCCATTCTTTAACAAGGGCATCAGCAATCGTGGACGCTTCTTGATTTGGCAACGCGTAGGCCTCGACCCATTTGCTGAAGTAATCCATTACTACCACAATGTATTTGTTGCCATCGTTCGTCTCCGGGAAAGGACCAGCCACGTCGATCGCTATTCGTTCGAAGGGACTACCAACATTGTACTGGCGCATAGGGGCTTTACCACGCTTTTGTGGCCCATTAATGGCTGCGCAAATGTCACATTTCTTACACCAGGCCCTCACATCTTCTTTGCAGTTCACCCAGTAGAACCGTTCACGCAGCTTGCCAAGTGTCTTGGTAACACCAAGATGTCCACCGCTGGTTCCATTGTGAACTTCCGCCAAGACTTCCGGGACCCTCTTCTTTGGAATGACGATCTGCCTTCTCTCTTCTTGTCCCTCTGGTCTCACAATCACACGGCGAAGTAATCCGTTATCTATTACCAATGAATTCCACTGGACCAGTACGACTTCACGTTCGGCGAATATCTGCAAACTTCCTCCCACGTTGGTCTCTGGTCCGCGTTTTTCCAGTTAATCACCAAGCCCAACTCTGGATCACTGATTTGGTCATTTGCAAGATCTTCGGTTTGCCAACTATCACCAACCACAGTCGTCCTTAAGACTTTCACTTCTTTCTCTTCTTTGCAACGATTTCCCATCTGTCCGCAATTCCAACAGCGAATCGGTCCCCCCTTCTTACTCATATACTGATCCAGTACTTTCCGCACAATCCTTTCCACTTTGGAATCGTCGGAACTCTCCTCAACAGCCCGTACAAATCCTAGAGACCTAGAGCATTCTTTCGCGGCCTCAAATTCCAGGGCACGTGCTAGGGCATCTCCCAAATGCGTTGGATGAGCTAAAAGAAGTGTTTGCCTTGTCTCGTTGTCACATAAACCATCAATAAAAGCCTGTACTTTTAAGCGCTCCATAACATTTTCGGGCATAGCAGGGTACGCAAGGCGAACGAGGCGGGCTACGTCGGCTTCAAACTCCTGCAGAGACTCATTTGACTTTTGAATGCGATTTTTTAGCTGGGAATGATAGACATGTTCCAAATGAGCTTGGCCGTACCTCATTTCTAAATGTCGTACCAATTGCTGATAATCTCCCTGTTCCGATGGTGACAATGTCTGCAGAATATCAGTCGCATCTCCTCGCAGTGCGACAGTCAAAGCGGTAGCCTTTTTCAGCGACTGTCCATCCGTTCGCTCGCAGCGGCCTCAAACTGGCAAAAATAATTGGCCCAAGCGGTTTTTCCGTCAAACTGTGGAGGCTTAATAACTGACTTTGAGATATACTTATTTTCGACTAGTTTCGGTGCCTCCGATGTTTCTTGACATTTTGGTGAATTGGCCTTTTCTATTTCTTGTTTTAAAATTTCGATTTTTTTATTTACATCGTCCTCAATTTGTGTTATTTTGTCTTGTAGCTCCGTAGAATTCTCTATAATCTTTTCTTCTAATTCCCTGGAATTTTCTGTTATCTTTTCTTCTAAATTAAGTATTTTATTATTAAAGCTGGCCTGTATGTCTTTAGAATTTTCTGCGATTTTATCTTCCAAAATATTAATTTTATCACTGATTTTCTCTTCTAAATTAACTTCCAAGTCAGTTATTTTACTATTCAAATTGTTCAAGTTGTCGTCTAATTTTTGAGAATTCTCTGTCATTTTATCATTCAAATTCTCTTCCAAGTTAATCATTTTACTATTCAAATTGTTCAAGTTGTCGTTTAAATTGTCTTGTAAATTTTTCAATGACGAGTCAAGGTCACCTTCCAGCTCGAAGTAAAATGTGTCAGGATCCTCACCTTCCTCCACCAAAACGTCTCTCAGTCTAGCTTGCAAAATGCTTTTCTTTCCATCTGTCTCGCACTCTCTCTCTTCCAATATGCATTTCAGTTCGGACACTTTCAAGTCTTTCAACAATTTTTTTCAGAGCCATGGTCAGTCTTTTTATTCTTCTAGTCTATCACACACGCCACACTTGACACCAATTGTTACGTTTTTCGTCGGTTCCGTGTGGATAGAAAGTCACAATTTATTTAAACACTATTTATTTAACACTAATTAACAAAAACAATAACGATAAAAGACTTATAGAACTATTTACAAACGATTTATAACTAAGAATTTATTTTTAGTTTTAGCGCGTCAACTGCACTGGTATATTTATAACTGCCCTCTCTAGGCCACTGCCGCCGGCTTTTATACCGACAGGTAAAAGAAATCTAGAATAGTCCAAAGATCGTTAGGCGCATAGAGAAGGTTTTCGAATGTTCTCGTATGTACGAGTCCATTCTAGTGGGTCTCGATTCTTCTCGAACGAATGAATCATTGCGGTGTCTATGCGATGTTAAGGTCATCCGAGGGCGGGCCATATTGTGAGGTTAGGTCGAGTCCACACCGGCTCGCAACAATTATATCATTTTTAAAATATTTTTACGTTTCATTTTTAATTTAACAAACTAATATTTTAGTAATTAATTGATTTATTTGTTTTATAGCTTATTTTACTTATTACATATTGGCAAAAACTAGTCCGTTATGAAGATTATTCTAAGCGTTATTATGGGGGTTATTTATTTATTATTGATGTACAGGGTGTCCCACTAAGAATAGCTCTCGGCTGTATCTCGGAAAGTATTAGCCGTAACGGCTGCGGAAAAAAATATTTATGATTAAAGAGGCTATGGAAAATTGCTGGAAATTATTTTCAAGTTTGCAGAACGACCGCTAGGGGGGCACAACTGCAACAAAAAATAAGAAAATGGAGTTTTTACACAATTTTGCCTAGATAAGGTGTACTATAAGTAACAGCTT